CTACGCGGCTGGGAGAAGCGAGCATATGAATAAGGCGGTTCGTAATACTTTTCCACAGGTTGCTGCTGCAAGCGCTTTTAATGTAGGTAGGCAGGTAGGTAGGTAGGTAGGTAGGCAGGGAGGGAGGGAGGGAGGTAGGTAGGTAGGTAGGTAGGTAGGTAGGTAGGTAGGAGTGGGTAGGTAGATAGATCGAGAGACATAGATAGAGAGAGATAGAGAGACAGAGAGCTAGCTCCGCAGATACAAAAATAGGTAGACAGATAGAAAGACAGACCGACAGACAAGTAGATATATAGATACAGATAGAAAGTGCTAAATGTTTGTCGAATGACTTGGTGCTGCGAGACTCAGAATCATTGAGGCTTTGGGATCTAAGTCTGTTTCTGCTTAAGGAGGTCACAAGAATCCCGCCACCACAGCTTCAATCTCACATCTCCCCTGCCAGGGTTCAATCCCGAACTACAATACCTGTAGATGCCCTCCTTCGCCACGGCCGGCCTTGCCCGCTGGACCATACTACGACGTCAAGACGGAATTTATCTGCTTCATGGTGACAGGTTGGGACGGCCGTGCATGCCACCAATTCAATCAACCTTCCTACGCTTCTTTGCATCTCGGCAGATAGACAGACAGACAGGCAAGAAGACAAGCAGACAAACAGGCAGGCAGGCAGAGCGAAAGAGAGAGAGAGAGAGAGACAGCGAGAAATCAAGACAGACGACCGGATAGATAGATAGGTCTGACAGACAGAAATGCCCCCGAAAGCCCCAATCAAACCATAGATAGACAAACGACTCGCAAAGCTCAGATCACTCGACCTTGATGAACCCCGAAACCACACCAAACAGCTTTCGAATCAAACGCACGAACACAGAGGCGACAAACCAAAGACAACAAAAGCACAACCAGCCCTTCAAGACAAAAAACACATGAACAACAAAGCCCCAAAGACCTAGCATCAACGGCAGCAAGATGGCAGGGCCTCGCCGTAGGAGCCAGCACCCAACGACTTTCGCTGGTGCCAAGCGTAGACGGCGCTGATGTCGCCCTCGCGACAGGCCTCCAGCAAATAGGCGGGTTCCCGAAAACTAGGGCCTACTTACATCAACTATCCTACCATCTAACGCTTACAGGGGTTTGGGGTTTGGAGACTTGCATCCTGGAGTACTTACACCAGCAGCTCACGTCCTTTTCGGGTGCTTCTGAATGAAACCTCGTACTGAACCGTTCAGGACAAGACGTGGGAGTTGGATAAACTAGGACTCTGTAGACCGTACATACACGGGATGCGTATTTTAAGTTTTAGACCACAATCCCCAAACTTCCAAATCGCCAAATGGACTTCCCACATACCTTATAAGCCTTCAACCCTCAAGCCTAGTCCCTGAAGCTACAGCCACATCTAAACCCTAAACTCTCACACATCCCTGCTCTGGAGGCATCCGAAAACCATCAGCTAAGAAGCGAAGCACCTTAACATGGAACCTTGCAACTCATATCCCTACAGTACTGCCCGAATGTAGAACTCCAAAGAGAGGCCCGATCGCATGATGAAGGCCCCTTATTGCAAGAAAAAACAAAGCTTACAGATGTCTCCTGCCTGGAAAGCTTTTCGATTCACAACTTTTGAAGCTCGCGGCCTGCCACCGACCTCTGCTGCAAAACTTGAAAGGTTAAGGCCCAAGCTACCATTCCAAAGCGGGGGTGGAGGAGGGGTAGCTCAACTGGGAAGCTTAAGGCCCGGGTCATCCCACAATTTCAAAAAGGGAAGGTGGATGATCATGTACAGGGACCATTATCGTGGAGGAGGGGGGCAATCTGCTGTGGCACATGTGTGTGTGTGTGCACGCAAGTATGTGCACGTGTGTATGAATCTATGTATCTATGTATGAACAATGACATGGTTTAAGGCCTAATTGGCATACATCTGTGGCCAGTCAGCTGGGTTGTGTCAAGGTTTTTGTCTGATATGAAACTAGTTGTTATTGCTTGTCTTTCTTTTTCTTTTGAGGGGAAGGGGGGTTGGAGGGTTTTGCTTCTTCTAAGTTTTCATGATGGAGGGAAAGACACAGGACCATTGTGCATGCAGGTAATGAACCCTTGTCGACGTCTCATGTATACTTGTTGTGAGGTTGGACTCGACAAGCTGGTTGCCGACTAGAGAATTTGCCACAGGTCTAGCAGCTCCAGGAGCGCTTGAGAGCAACATAAATCCCAAACCAAAAAACCCAAAGCAAGCAAACCCAAAAGAGCCCAAAAGCCTAAAGCCCAACAGCCTTAACTCGAAACAGTGACACAAGACCCTAAGTTGCCCTAAATCAATTGCCCGAATCCCACAAACAGAACCTCAGAGCCCAGCGGCTCGCCCAGGAGACAACGACTCCACGGCCGGAGTCGTCGACGTGGCCTATTTTGGGCTTCGGCTTGGGACGCAGGGCTGGGGTCTCGGGTGTAGGATTTAGGGGCTTTGGGACGCGGGTTTGGTTTTAGAACTTGGCTTGGTGGAGTAAGGTTTGTACTTTGGGACCTGGAGTGTGGGTTTCGGGACCGGGTGGCTTCAGGACTAGTTCTCAGGGTGTTTAGGCTTTTGGGTTCTCGGGCTAGGCAAAGGCTTCGTTGCTTTTTCGTTCCAGCATCCAGTTGTTGGTGTTTAATCTGGTCCCGGAAAGGGTCTCCCAAGGAAGACGCTACTGTTGAAGGACTTTGGTCCATCAACGGTATTCTATGTTATCGAGGATGCAAACTTGTTGTCTGGCGCTTGTCCCAAGTCGGGAGATTAGTATTCTGGCCTATTGCTACAAACCGGAATACCAACCTTTGCAACACAGTGCGAACATGGATCATTCAGCTTTCTACGACTCAAAGTCATATAAACTTCATCTCAAGACCACTATGCGCACATTCATGTGGGTGTGCCTGTATGCCAACCTTTCTCTCTGCTTATGCTTACCATGTATATATATATATACACATGTATATATGCACATACATGTGTGCTATATACACACATACATGTGTGCGCGCCTGTGTGTGCCAGTCGATGGCTCTGCCTAGCACTGCCTATATGTCTTTTCATATATGTTTGTATATGTGGCGTATACGTACGTACAGATAGACACACGTAGAGCAGACATGCATATTCGCAGCAAAAGTCTGCAGACCGAGAACCCGTGGGCCGGATCCCATACAGTCAAGAATAACAACACAACCCGGTGACAAAGTTGAACAAGTCTGCAGATGAAGCGAACAGAAACAACATTCATATCTATAACTGTATAACTATCTCTATATATGGGTGTATATATATATATATGTATACATGCACAAGCATGACTAATACTAATAAGAAATAATATAAATAAATATATATATATATAGACAGGTAAATATAATTATCCATAGATATATATATATATATATGGACTATGATAAGAGCCTATGTAAGAGCCATATTCAAACATAAACCAAGATCAGAAGGACTGATCCTAATACAGGAAGAATACCAACACGTTAGACGCAGTGAAGAACCTCAGACACTCAAGCGCCTTGCTGGTGGAAGTCGTCTGAGGTGTATCTTTGGATGCCTCTCTGGCGAGATGAATTGTCACCTCGAGCTTTACGAGGCAATGCTTAACAGGCAAGGTTGAAGCTTGAACGGCCTAGGGTTTGAACCCTAAGCCAGAAACACCAAGGTTTTTCAATGCCGGGTCTAGATCCAGCGTGTTTCATGTACGTGACGAGAATTAGTCGCAATATCCGTGATCGCCAGGTTTGGTTATTGCCTCTATGGCCATCGAAGTCTTCTCCCACCGGCTTCTCCGCGTAGTTGCATACACGACGTGCAGCTAATGTAGAGGCCTGGAAAATTGCAATAGGGTGCTTTGCATGTGCTATAGTACAGTCTTCAATTTGCTGGCTCTCCCACCCGAATCAGGAATTTGAGGTGTTGGCATTCCTTTACTTATAGTCACAAGTTCCAAATGTTCCTCTTTTTCGGCCGGGAAGGCACGTCTCGTTCACTTAGAACGTGTTCCTTGATGCAGGAACCTATGAAGTCCGAAAGCCCGGAAGCCCTAGACCATCCCAAATCATCTATTCCCTTCACAGGCCCTATAGGCCCCAAGCCTTGAGTGACGTCGACATCTAAGCTGGCAGGAGCAAGTGCTCAACTTGTTGACCATATCTAAGATAAGAGTAAGCTTCAGCGGTTTCGGACTTCGGGTAACAGAGTTGAGGGTTCAGGGATTTTGGCGTTCAGGGTTTAGAGCCTGGGTACGGCGTTAAACAAACACCAGAAAAGTTTAAGACATAAGCAGCACTCGCCCTTAGCTTCAAAGACTCCCACCTACCTATAAGCGCAGCGTCTGAAACCCAAAAGGCCTGGAACCTTTAGGCCTAAGCCGGAAGAGTCAAGGTTTAGAGGCCCCAGATCCCCCACACCTCTCGTGGCGACACCAGTAGGGGCTTCGAGGAGACGCTGGGTGTCCGCAGTTCAGCACGGGACGGCGACAGCACCTCGCCTTGGGGTTTAGGGCCCTCCCCTCCTTTTGGGGGGTACAAGATCAGAGCCCCAATGTTACACACGTGATGAACGCTTGAAAACGAAGATTTAGCGCTCTTTGGTAAAGAGTGCAATTCGTTTTCTATGGAGCGCTGGGATTCTGCTGAGGTTCCCAAAGCCACCAGGGGCTGGTGTTCTCAATTTTTGATGCATCGACTGTACGTAAGTACTGTAGCAACTTTAGTACAAGGTCGACGTCAACATCGACCTGAATGTAAGCCCTCCAAGGTAGTGAACACGATTTCTTCCCAGCAGCTTGACTGGCAAAGGAGTGCAGCAGACAACAAGTGACAATTATGTCGCAAACCGCACAAGGTTTCCCCTGAATATAAGCTGGGAACCTGTTTTTTTCATCACCGTTTGCGAATTTCGTCGGACACCTAACCATTGAATCTCAAGCCAGTCCCTGCGCTAGAAGCCCCACGCCGTAAATCAAACCCATTGAACTCCCGGCCCAAAGCCTAAAACAAGCCCTTTGAGGCCTAAACCTCAGATACTGTACTCAGATCATAGCTGCTAAACCCGGACCGCTATCCTTCACCCCAGTAACTAAGCCCCTCTGAATGCTGAACCGTGCGTCACTGAAACCCCAGACTAAACTTAGTGTCCCGGGAATCCCAAAAGCCATAAACTCAAGCCGTTGAAGGTGAGGAACTCTCATCTGTCGGCGCATTGTGCACCGAAAGCGGCACCTTCTCAGCCGCGGAAACCCGTACGTAACCGATACTAAACGGAGAACCCCTAGGATTCCACAAAACCTTATCGTCGGGTTTTCTACCATACCAAACCAGCACTTGAAAGGGGGAGTTTGGACCCTACCATAGGCGGCAAAGGCTAGGTTCCGGATTCAAGGATCCCAAAATGAGGCAATCCTGCTAAACTCTTTCTGAAACACCCAACACCCACAGAGACGTGTGTAAAACTTCAGAATACTTACAGCGGGATGGCAGGTCCAGTGCTTTCGCCAACCTTGAACAAGTGAGGGTAATGGCCACAAAGCCCAGGAGCTCAGAAACAAAACACGAATTGCTCTTCGGTTTGTTTGTTCGGCTTTTTATCAGGGCTCAGGCTCTAGAGCTCTCGGGTTTGCATGGGCTTCAGCGTTTCGGCCTTAAGCATGATATCAAACATGTAGTCGGTGACCACACTCGTAGAGTAACTTCTCCAGAACGGCCACAGGTAGAATGACTGCAATCTTCTAGGTACTTGCTTCACGTGTATCACTAGTAACTAGTAGAACCAACCTGCACAAAGTGACGTAAAGTGACACCGCTGGTGCCCCTTTGCCTCCACGTATCGGAGTATCGTTTGACAGATATGGTGGCAATTGTGTTGCAAGCATACCCACTGGAACCCCAAAGCCCAAAACCTCAATCTTGCCGTGCTTAACACCTGAGCTCACCTGAACCCTCAGCACAAACCATAAAAACCCAGCTGGTTCGGCACCCTACACCATAAACCCAAGGTCCCAAAGTGGCTAAAGGAGGCTCTTTGAGCAGTAGGGTTCTGAGATTCTCAGGCATGCACAGATTGTAAACCTTTGAAATTTGGTTTATTCATGTCATCGTCATTTCTGTCTGCTTTTGTTCCTTCATTCTTGGGTTCGTTCTTGATCATCATTTCTGGCTTCACCCCTGATTCAACCATCATTCTGATCATCATTTCCGGCTTCGCTGTTTCTTCATTCCTCTCTTCATCCCTAGTTCAATGCTCATGTTGATCGTCATTTCTGGCTTCGTTGTTTCCTCATTCCTCTCTTCGCCCCTGATTCAATCATCAGCTTGATCATCATTTCCGGCTTCGTTGTTTCTTCATTCCTCTCTTCACCCCTGGTTCAATATTCATGTTGTGCATCATGTAATCTTCATTTGAATCACCGTTTAGTCTTCTCCTCGTCAGCGGGCCTGCGGGGGAGGCCGTGGGGAGGGGCAGGAACGGAAAATGCAGACAAACACGAAAAACATGATGATCAACATGAAGATTGACATGCTGATATGAAATGGAACGAAGACCAACACGAGGAGAAAATGATGATCCATATGAAGATTGACATGAATATATGAAATGGAGCGAAGACGAACAACAAAGAACAACAAATGATGATCACCATGAACATTAACATGATGATATGAAATGTGACGAAGATGGACACGAAGAACAAAAGATGAGCAACATGAAGATTGACATGATTAATTATATGAAACGGGACGAAGATGAACACGACGGATAAATCATGATATGAAATGGGACGAAGATGAACACGCAGAAGAAATGATGATCACCTCGAAGAAAGACATGATGATATGAAATGGGACGAAGATGACAACGACTAGAACATGATGATCAACATGAAGATGGAAATGATGATATGAAATGGGATGGAGATTAAAATGAAGATCAAATATAATCAACATCATGATGAACATGAAGAGATATTTACTTAAGATCGCCACAGTCTGTCCATCAACGAATCCCATAACCGTAGGGAATCGGGGCCTGCTAAATACTGGTGATGCCGTTACAAGCCTTATGTAAGAACCGCTGCGATCTCAACATGAGAAACCCATTGTCCAACGAAGCAACTCTTACCGGCAACGAGGCGCTCGCACTCGAAATTGAATATCATTGCACAGGGGCTTTTGCTCCTGAGCCTCCTAAACCAAAGCCTTGGCCTCACCCTAGAGACCGAAAGACCGAAAGCTTGCATTGCAGCCCGAAGCGCCAAAGAGTCGAGGGGGTCACTTGTCCGACGAGAACGTCTCCCATTGGCCTCGGAGCCGGGATATGGTTTACCTCAAGATACATGGACAGCCTATGGATTAGGGCGTATTGATAGGTAAAGTGCGGTTAAGCAGGCTGGGGAAGTGGGGGGAGTGGGGGATGAGATCTACAGGAGTCCCAAGCTTGCGACTCTACAAACTTGGAGCCATGCCGTAATGAAAGCCTGAAGCCCTAAAGCCGCAGGAAACATCCGAAACACACACCCCGCGTAACCAAGAGACCTGTACGGTCCCGATAGAACCGCAGTATAGTAAAAAAGCATACACGGTTTTAAAACCAGGAGCGGTGTTTGGGCAGTACCAGGTGCCCGGCCTCGCCGGCCTCTTCGTTGGTGTTTTGCCTGGCTTTGTAGCTTGCTGATTACGGTTGGGGGGGGGGGGGGGGGG